GTCGAGACAACCAACCCAGGGGGGGGGGGAAGTTTGGGGGGGGGGGGCCGAGGGGTGATGCAGGTTGTGGGGTGATGGAGTTTCGAGGGCTGATGGGTCCAGGTTGAGGGGTGAAAAGAGTTGAAGGAGCAGCACATAGACAAATCGCGGGGAGGGAGACTGTGGTTGCTCAGCTTTGTCAAGCAAGAATCTGATGACCGGTGGATCCTTACCTGCTAAGTGGGGGTAGGCGGGGGGCATAGCAGCATAGAGATGGGGGGTCCGAGCCCAAGGTTCCGGGGCGCACACTTCAAGATAAGCAGTCGTTTGGGGTCAGTCCAGCGATCGACTTGACGGATCTTGTCCTGTCGATCCCCAAGTGGACTAAAATCCAATGCGTTTCTCACACACAGATGAACGAGGCCCCAAACTGCTGTCGCCTTCCTTCATCCTTACCTGCTAAGTGGGGGTAGGCGGGGGGCATAGCAGCATAGAGATGGGGGGTCCGAGCCCAAGGTTCCGGGGCGCACACTTCAAGATAAGCAGTCGTTTGGGGTCAGTCCAGCGATCGACTTGACGGATCTTGTCCTGTCGATCCCCAAGTGGACTAAAATCCAATGCGTTTCTCACACACAGATGAACGAGGCCCCAAACTGCTGTCGCCTTCCTCCACCCGTCGCCAGCGGCGATAGGACACCATCGCCCCGAGCGAGCGTCGCCGCGGTGGTGCTGGGGGCTGCCCTCCTTCTCTTCTTCAGCCATCGCTATCTGCCCAAGTTAAGGAGCGGCTTCATGTCATTTTAAGCTGTCAGGCTCTTTCGTGTTGAACCAAGACACATTTGTACGTTGTTACCAGGACGACTTGTAAAGTTGAAGTCTTTTTTTGTAAGTTAAAAAGTTTTAGTTTTTTTGAAACATGTTGTGGCCTGGGGGAAAATTGTTTTAGAAGCATATGTTCAGATTTGCAAGTTTTAGTTTTTAGGAGTATGGAATAAAGATGTTAGGAAAGAAATGTAGAATGAACAGAATATTTGTCTCCCGAAATCTATACAGCCAAAGAAACAACAATAAAAAGGCAAAAATTGTCAAATTTGCTGCTTATTTGACTTTTTTGCCATTTTTTAAAATTCTCGGGGGGCGGGGGTAGCAGCAAACAGGTTGGACTCATTCGTGACTTTCGCTCCTGGCAAACGATGGGAAAAATCCAATTTCCTCGTTAGTCTCCCAGTGATCAAAGATGGAGGAAATGCCGCATGACACTTTGAACTGCATGTGACACATAATCTCATAAATGCTGCTTTGGGAGAATCGCCCGCTCTGATAACTCACTCAGCAGCAAGCCCTTCGAACCTCTGCCCAAGACAACAAACAGCAAAGCAAAGAACCCTCAAAATTGGGAAGATCAGGCAAAGGGGTGTCACTTCGTGTCAGCTGTGCATGGAAAAAAACGGCTGCCACATAAACTTAGAAGTGAATGGAAACCTAAATAAGAATAATCAGCAGGATTTTACAGCACAAAAAACCCCCCGACATGTTCCAATATGAATAATCAATTTCCTGTAGAAGCGGTTGAGTGGCAACTATACATTCCAGAGTGGCGCCTTCCCTTTGCGCGCCACCCAAGCAGAAGGACGTGAGGACGCGCCGGTGTCTCCCGCCCCGCAGCAGCGCCGCCGCCTCTCATTTGCCACTCGCGCTCCCCGCGGGCGGACATGCTCCTTGCGCGCACGCAGCCGACATGAACGCCTTGGCGTGCGGACTATGTTGGTGCGTGTGCGCGGCCGTGTGCGTGCTGTGTGTCGACGCGTCTTGGTGGTGAGTTTATCTCATAACGCCGCTCTTAAAATCGTGGCCGTGTTTTGCATGTCATCGTATTGACAGGATGCCTTTGCACGTATCGCTTGTCAATCATTTTTTCCTGACTTTCCAGGTTCCGCTTCTTGCATTTGTCCCCATTCGCTGTATTTTTCCCCGCTCATATTTCTTCATAATTGCACTTGACAAAAGTTAGTCGCTTGCTCATTTTTCTTTTTCTATGAAAGCCCTTAAGATGTCTTTACAAGTCTCAACCGGTCTCTCGGTGCGTTTTTCCCTTCACGGCAAACATTTCAACACCTCTCGCAATAATCATGTACGTCGACTGTAGCCTCTCAATTATTTATTTCTCGCATGGACAACAGGCTAAGTACACTATCTAATCCCATTCTCACTTGTTTGAGCTCAATCTATAATCATAATTGTACTAGTACAGTGGAACCTCCGAAGTATGACATTGTCCTTCCTTGGATGACTTTCAAATTCAAATGTATATGTGTTCTTTCCAATTGAAAATAATGGAAAAATAAATCAATCCGAAGTCGATCCAGCCATTATCCGAGCCGCTCTATCGTCAACGAGGATGGCGGGTGAGCCCGAGCCTATCTCAGCCGTCTTTGGGCTGTCGGCGGGGGACAACACCCTGAACTGGTTGCCAGTCAATTGCAGGTCACACACAGACAAACAACCATTTACGCACACAGTCGAACCTTGGGACAATTTAGAGTGTTCAATCAGCCTGCCATACATGTTTTTGAAATGCGGGAGGTAACCGAATGACCCGGAGAAAATCCACGCAGGCACGCGGAGAAAATGCAAACTCCACACAGGAACGCCGGGGCCGGATTCGAACCCTCGACCTCTGCACTGTGAGGCGGATGTGCTGGATAGTCTAATAAATAAATAAATCAATATTTCGTGTATGATGAAAGATTTAACGAACACTTTTGGTCTTCATATTATTTGCCCTTGAACATAAAAGTTGAAAATAAAGTTTAAAAAAATATTTGGACATTTTTTTTTTTGTTGTATTTTTAAAACTAACGATACGAAAAAAGGCAGAAGAACTCAATACCTTGGGTCTTCCTTGTTATTGAAATGTATTCACAGGTATTTATCTTTGAAATGTTTACCTTTTGTGACGAGCCGCTGCAGCGAGTGACTGTTTCCTTCCCACGCAGGTACATGAGTACTCTGGGCTCTCGCGTGATGTGCGACAACATCCCGGGTCTCGTCAGCGAGCAGCGCCAGCTGTGCCGCCAGCATCCCCGAGTGATGCAAGCCATCGGCGCCGGCGTGCAGGACTGGATCGCCGAGTGCCAGCACCAGTTTCGCAACCACCGCTGGAACTGCAACACCGTGGCGCGGGACCACAGCCTCTTTGGACGCCTGCTGCTACGCGGTGAGGCCGGCACGGGACCTGATTGGGTCTTGAGTCCTTTTTCGTGTGTGTGTGTGTGTGTGTGTGTGTGTGTGTGTGTGTGTGTGTGTGTGTGTGTGTGTGTGTGTGAGGTGATGATGCCAGGTGGGTATTTCAAACCACAATCTGTTCTTGGTTACCTTCAGTGGATGAATAAAGCGGTGAAACGAATGACTTGAAGCGCAGGAGACGCTGATGGTGTGACGCTCGCTCCTCTCCAGGCAGCCGCGAGGTGGCCTTCATCTACGCCATCTCGTCGGCGGGCGTGGTGCACACGCTGGCGCGGGCGTGCAGCCGCGGCGAGCTGGACTCGTGCTCTTGTGACCCGCGCAAGACGGGCGCTTGGCGCGACCGAGCCGGCGCCTTCGACTGGGGAGGCTGCAGCGACCACGTGGAGCACGCCGCCCGCTTCGGACACGCCTTCGTGGACGCCAAGGAGAGGAAGGAGCCCGACGCGCGTGCCCTCATCAACCTCCACAACAACAGGGCTGGACGCAAGGTTCTCTTCTGTACTTGGGTGTCACCTTTTGTTTGGGAGATTGAAGCAAAAAATGTTCACTTGAGGATGAGGAACAACACCGGTCGACACATTTGTGCCAAATGTTTTAATCAGAGATGCAAGTAAACTTGTCGAGAGGATTTTTCTGGGGGAGCTGATTCTTAATCTGCCTCTTGTTCGGGTATTCATAAAAAATAATGACATCGCATGGTTCCATCTGGATTTTCTCCGGGTAATCCGGTTTCCTCCCGCATTTCAAAAACATGCATGGCAGGCTGATTGTACAATCAAAATTGTCCCGAGGTGTGAGTGTGAGCGCGGATGGTTGGTCGTCTCTTTGTGCTCTGTGATTGGCTGGCAACCGGTTCAGGGTGTCCCCCGCCTAGTGGCCCAAGACAGCTGGAATAGGCTCCAGCACCCCCCGCGGCCCTTGTGAGGATAAAGCGGTTCAGAAAATGGATGGATGAATATATATATATATA